TGCACAGTGCGGTGGGGTGCTGAGTGTCAGGGAGTCTTGGTACCTCAGCGGATCCGTACCCCTTGCTCAGCAGCAGACAAGCAGAGCAATCCCAAAGCCCAAGGTCCTGTCATTTCCCTCTCATCCGAAAGAAGGATGGCATGTACAGCTGCATGGGGGGCTGGGGGAGGCTGAGCCTTCCTACAGATTGCCCCCTCTTGCCACCCAGGCCTTTGCCCGCCCCTGGCCCAGCAGAATGGGGCAGCCAGCAGCAGCCCCGTGGCTTCTGCACGCCTGTGTTTGTCTTGGCTGAGGGCTGCCTGGGGCTTTCTGCAGCTGAGTCTGTCCAGCATGCAGGCCAAGCTGGAGGAATGAGGACGTGGGATCACAGAGCAGGGAGCTAGAATGGCTGCGGTAGGGAGGCCCCGGCGGGGGTATGTGTCAGAGGTGGCCCTGTAGGGAGCCTGATGAGGGCTGAGTCCTCAGTGGGTGATGAGGCTGATGCCACTGAGCCCACCTGAAAGACTTGAGGACGCTGGCAAGTGTCCAGCTCCTTGCTATGCCAGGGGGCGGATTCTCCTCTGGGGACTCCAGGACACACACACAGACCTTTGCATGCTAGAGCTCTGGTGTGCCCAGGCTCAATGCACCAGCGGGCACTCCACTCCAGCCTGGTCCTGGAAGGGGTCTCGGTGTGTACTTCCTTACTGATACCATGATTCTCAGCGCTCTGTTCAGCATTGTGGTCACTCCCTTCTCCCTACTGCCCACCCACTAGAGCAGTGCAGACCCTCCTGCATGCTGCTCCACACAGATGCAGCCAAGTCACATGGCCCACAGCTGACCGCCTCCCCCGGCTGCTTCTCCCATCTGCTGAGGCCCCATAATTACTGCAAGCCCCAGCCTCACTTACTTGCTGCTTGGAGGGGAGGGTTCACGCAGTCCTGTAATGTAACCCAGACCCCAGGACGTTTGGGCGGATGGGGGGGTGTCCCCAGTGGGTAATGAGCCCACTGCCTTATTGAGTTCCGGGGGCTGGGATTTGAGCACTGTCTCCCTCTAACTGAGCCCCAGCCCAACTACCTTCTTCCCAGCACCCCAATTCCTGCTCCTTAGGCTCCTCCTCCTCTCCGAGACCCTCCCACCCCCAAGACACGTGTGAGAGATCAAGACTGGGGCAGGCAGGCTCTTGGAGTAGGGGGAGGGAGAAAGTGCGTTGCTGCCTTGGGCCTGGGGCCCACGCAGGGTGGCTAGACCCGGCTGGGGCCCGCACCAGGCAGGCTGAGCCAGACCTGCAGTCCCCACCCCCACCCCGCCTCCTCAACCTGTGCAGGCCCCTTCACCTCCCCTTTTCCCGAGGCCTGAACCCTGTGGAAGGAGGCCTGCCAGAGAAGCGGCCCTGGAAACTGTCTTCTCAGCTCTGGCTCCTGGGCTCGGCCCTTCGGCTGGGGAAGCCAATCAGGCCCCTCTCCTGCTGTCTGCGACCAGCTGCTTGCCACCATTGGCCTGTTCCTTTGCCGTCCTAGACTGCCCTTCCTGCACAGAGAACCTGTTGCTGGTCCCTGTGTGCCCAGAGCTCAGCACACAGTAGGTGCTTCAGAACACATTTGTGGGAGGATGCCTTGCAAAGGAAAGAGGCTTGATTCACATGTAAGGTCATGATGGCTGCAGGTGGTGGTGGCAGTGGTGGCTGTGATCTCTGTGGGGCCCCGTCTCACATGAGTAAGGGGTTAGGTCTTGTTGCCTAAACGTAGTAGCCCAGGAGCTGTGATGCTCATGGTGGCCTGAGGTTCAGGGTCACCCCAAGTTCCTTATCTGGGTAACCTCTTACCACCACACCCCTGCAGGTGGTGAGTCTTCCCTGCCCACTGTGTAGCTGGCAGCGGTGAGGGCCACAGTGGGCTCCTCTGAGACAGATAAGAGCCCAGCCTTCTTTGACCGTGACCCTGGATGACAGGAGAGTCTTGACTGGGCTCTGTGACCCTAGAGCAGCTTGGAGGGTGGCCCTGAGGTCCAGGCTAGGCCCTGTGTCTTGTGGTCCTAGGGTGGAGGATCTGGGAAGATGAGCCTCCCTTCCCCCACTGGCTGGGACCTGCTCTGGGTCATGCGGTCTGCAAGGAGTGTGAGGGAGGCACACACAGGCGTGGGGCTGGGAAGGGAGCCAGGCCAAGGGGCTCAGGAGGGAGAACCCAGGAGGAGGCAAGTCCACAGCCCTCCCAGCACAGCTGCTAAACAAGCCGCGGCCAGGCCAGCTGCCTGAGCAAGCGAGTGAGGGAGTGAGCATGAGGCTTCCTGCAGGGGCTGGAAGCTGGCGCGGGTGTGTACGGAGCACAGGCTGGGGCGAGGGAGGAGAGGCTCTCCAGCAGTGTCAGCCTGGATGGCCTGGGCCCCTCAGCAGGCCCAGCCTAACCTCCTTGTGACTCAGTTTCCCCCTTCTACCTGGTGGAGGGTGCTCCTGGGGCAGCCATGAGGTCAACAGTGCAGAGAGAGGAGGGGAGACCATGTGGACTCCCAGCCCCGGTCATTCTTTATTGTTCTGCGCTGTTTTTTGGTGAGCGACTTGGAGGGGCTGAGAGGGACAGCCAGAGCGGCTCAGAATCCCTGTGCTCCCCACACTGCCCAGGAGTGGGGTCCTGGGTGAGTGAGGCCCATATCTCCCTCAGTCTGCCAACTCGAGGAACAAGGCTGAAAAGCCAAGGCCTTGCATTTTTGCTCCCCCAAGCTCTTGCCCAGTCTCTGCCTCCTCCTTTTAGATTTTCTTCCTCGTCCTCACCGGGATCCTGACAGTTCCTCCGTGTGTCACTTGGAAACGTGTCACTGTCGATTTCCCCATGAACCATCAAAGGAAGCTGCACAGAGCACATTCGTCCAGGGGCTGTGCCGAGGCCCCTGCTTGGAGCAGCTGGAACACGGGCTTATGAAATTATAGGGAATTCAAAGCAGCCGGCGTCGCCCGCTGTCTGGCTTCATTACTGGGACTGGCCACGGAGGGAGGTTTATTCCAATAATTTAGAGGATTAGGATCTGACACCCTTCATTAGCGATTTGACGTGAGTGGGGAAGACAGATTAACCCACACCAGGGGAAGGAGACAGCCCTGGGGGGGGGGAGCATGGCGGAATGCCACCCAGTTCGGGAGAGCAACAGTGGACCTGGGGAGGCGAGGGTGTGCCACCTCCTGACAGTTCAGTGTCCCACAAGGAGAGGCTATGCCCCGTGGGCCTCGCCTTGCTCCCCCGAGCATTGCTGGGGTCTCAGAGCTGTCTTCCTGCTCTGATGTGTGTTGTGCCCACCTGTGCCATGGCCCCCTGGCACGGCAGCTCGGTCACTGTTCCCAAAATCCTTGACAAAGACCTCCCTTTTACTTCCCCAGTATCCAGTGACCAAACCCCACACGCACTTGGGCTGCTGGCCACTTCATACCATCATCAATGCCAGCCACTTCCCTCCGAAGGACAAGATGCAGCCCCCAACCCTCCTACAAACACTGGCCCTGATGTTTTGTGCCCAGTGTGTAAGAACTGGCATTGGGGCTCGGCCTGGACAATGGTTCTGACAGATGAATGTGGGAAGGATGGTGCCAAGAACCCCTTGCCCACAGCCAGGGCAGGAGGGGGAATGTGTCCATTTCTCCCCTCCTGTGCTAAAGCTGGGGTCCTGGAGCTGTGTAGCCTGGGCCATGTTGCTCACCCTGTCTGTCCTCTCCTCCAGCCTGAACCAGGCCTGCCGGTGTGAGTTGAATAAAATGGTGCCCGCGGAGACCCTGGCACGCAAGAAGGCTGAATGTCACAGTGACTGCTGACTATGTGTGACTTTGGCGAGTCACCTGCCCTTTTCCACTCCAACCTTGCTTCTCCTCCAGCCCCAAGGTATTGAGAAAAGTCAAATCAGTGCCTGGGACAGCACCTGGCATTCAGAAAGCTTGCTCAGAAGCTGCTGCAGTGGCCCTGAGCGCGGGCGGCTGCCCTGCCCGTGTAGGTTTTCCTGCAGCTGACAAGTGTCCATGGAGGCGGAGGAGGAGGAGGAATGTGATATGTCCTGGCTGCTGCTGGGGAGTGGAGCTTAGTTTAGCGGGTAGATGTCCCTGGAATGATTTGGGGAACATGCCCTCCGTGGGACCTAAGCCCCAGACTGCCTGGGACCCAGAGACCGGGAGCCTGTCCGCGCGCACACCTCCCACAGGGGGGACCTGGTGCTGGCGTAGGAGCTGCTTACACAGCACAGCGGCACTGCTCAGGCCCGCCCCGGAATGGCCGTGAACTTGTTGTTTTTCCACGTCATTTGCTCTCAAATGTACTATCGAGCCGGGCGCGGCGGCAGCAGCGGCAGGCGGCAGGTCCCTCCTCGTAACAAGCGATCGTGTGTTCTTCGGAGGTGGCTACAGGGGAGGAGGGGGCCCAGCGTGGAGGAGCAGAACGGCGAAGGGGGGAGAGGCGGGGGAGAAAGGGAAACAAATCCTTCTTTACAGTGAGCTTGCGTGTCCTGGAGCCAGCTCCCCCGAAGCACATGCCATTTCTGGCCCTGGAAGGGGTTAAAGGCCTCCTGGAGTCAGAAACAAGCAGGTGCCCCACCGTGCCAGATACGCCGCCTAAACTGCTTCCAGCTTTTCTTTCCCCCCTTCTGCAATAAGTCTGTGATCAGCCACGGGACAGAGGCACCAGCAGCCTGCCCGTGACAGGCGTCAGGTTAGCTTGCTCCCACTCGTGTGGTGCGCCCAGGATATAAATCCAGCCCGAGGCCCCTGCTGAGGCGCCTCTCCCTGCACACTCAGGAGGGGAGTTTCCTTCCAAGGACCTTTCTTTTATCTGAAGCCTCCCAGCCCGGCAGGCTGCAGGGACGTGGTGGAGGCAGCCACAGCGGCAGCTGCCTGTCGCCCTTGCGGCAGCAGCAGCAGGAGCCTGAGCAAGGAGACCTGCTGGGGTGAGGGTGGTGAGGGGCAGGTATCTTCAGCCCCAGAGAAAAAGGCCCTGGTGGACCCTAGCCCCTGGCATCATTGCAGGGGAGGTCTCTGGCCACCGCAGACAGCACCATGCAGGCCCTGGGGTGCCACCGGCTGTGGCCCCACTGGGGGCTTCTGCTGCTGCTGCTTGGGATGCCCCCGCGAGGCCTGGCGCCACCACCCATCCGCTATTCCCATGCCGGCATCTGCCCCAACGACATGAACCCCAACCTCTGGGTGGATGCACAGAGCACTTGCAAGAGGGAGTGTGAGACCGATCAGGTGAGTGGGATGCCAGAATCCCAGGGGGAACAGGTGAGTATTGGTGCGATGGGACAGGGCCGGGGAAAAGAGGTAGGTGTGATGTTTGAGCTCCTGGGAACTGGGCATCTGTGGGTACCTTCTCTTCTCGGCTGGGGGCTGCAGTGAGCCTCTCCCCCACTCACCATTGTGCAGTGCTAGGTGTGTTTGCATGTTAGGCATAGCTGCATGTACCAGGTTGGGAAGAGTGGACATGCAGAGAGCAAAGCCTGAGCATGCTGGGGACCCCGTGTCTATCTGACAAGGCCGAGGTTACCCTGTTACCAGGCTCTACCCCCTGGGCCTGAGAGCAGCCGGGTTGCCTGACAGACAGCGCTGGCCCAGCCCAAGGCACACTCTGGAGTCCCCAGGAGCATGTGCGCTGACCTCCAGCCCTGCCAGCTTCCTTGGTCCTGCCTCCTGCTATTGGTCAGGGCACAGTGCAGCAAGCAGAGCTATGCCCACAGCACCACCTCTTGGCTCCCAGGGCAGAGGGCCCCTGCTGTCTGCACCTGCTGCAGGCACAGGCGCTTCCTGCTGCATTCTGGCAGGCTCTGAGTCTCCCAGGGTTCCAGTTCCAGGCCAGGCAGCATCAGGGAACATGAGAGAACCTGGTACCTGCTGTAGATGCCTGGTCACTCCCAGGAAGAGCACAGAGCTGTCCCGTCAGGGACCCGGGGACAGTTCTCAGGGACTCAGGGACAGATGCTGCCAGGCGGCATGGCTGACATCAAGTGAAAGGATCCCAAGGGGGTTTGGGAGGGGAATGGTTCCCATTGCCGAGGTCAGGCCACCGCAGGTGGGCCACACTCAGGGAGGTCTCCTTCTCTAGCACAGGCTGACATATTAAATGTGGCTTTCACTGAACTGAGCTTATGTCTTTGGAAAGGAAGCACCTATAGGGGGTTGGACTCAGGCAGCCTTGGGGGCATCTCTGGGCCCTGAAGCTGCAGAGTATCCTGAGGGGCCTCTCCAACTCCCCCCAGTTCCCTCCTCGCCTCCCAGCCCCCAGACTCCCAGAGTCCACTGCAGCTTTCTGGGCTGGAGCTCCTGAAAGAGAGTGGAAGCTGGTGCTGCCTTCAGTTCTGCCACAGGACCGCTTTGCCTGGGACCCCGGCCTGGCCCCCAGAGCCTCCCTCCCCTCCCTCTCCCCCGTGTGGCCAGGCCACCCCTGCCAAGCAAAGGCTGCAAAAACAAAGTCACCATTCTGAGTGGAGAGGGGAGAACAGTAAACAAGCCAGGCGCGGGCAGCACGCGGCCGCGGCGGGGGCGCCCCTTAGCCCATGTGGAATGTTAGCAAGGCTGGGCCAGCCACGCGGGGAGCAGGGAGCAGGGAGCAGCAAGCAGCGGGTACCAGGAGGGGGATTAGGAGGCCTGCCTGCCCAGTGCTACGGCACCACATGAGGTCCTTGTTTGTGTCGACTCCAGCAGCACGTTGCTAATTTCGAGGAATTAAACTAATGCCTGCCGGGGCTCCACAAACCCAGGGGATTATGGGCCTTGCTGGCTGTGGCCACACAAGGGGCTTTCTCACCTGCTGCTCTCTCTCAACATTAACGGTGCCACCCAGAGCCCAGCACGCGGGGCTGCTGCAGCCCAGAGTGGTGGTGCCAGACCGCCAGCTTCCCAGCTCTGCCGGATGCCTGCCCCAGGTGTGTGCTAGCTTGCTTGATGGGCCAGGAGGAGGAGTGGGAAGGGAATGCGGTCACTGTGGAGGCCGGCCCCTGAACCCTCTCCCCGTACACCAGTCCAAGGGAAAGAAAGACCAAAGCTGGCAGCCTAGGCACTGCCCCCGCCAGCGGGGCTAACCTGAGGATTCAGAGGAGATGAGGCCAGGTTCTGCGGTCTCACTAGTGTTACGACAGTGGGAAAACGGGTCTGTCATTCCACCCCCACCCTCACCCCATGTCGTCCCCACAAGATGGTGCGAGCCGAGAGCTAGGGCCAGGCTGCTGTCCTTTGTCCCTCCTGTTCGCCACTCAAGCTTCTTCTCCGCGTGGTTCTTTCAGGAGTGTGAGACCTATGAGAAGTGTTGCCCCAATGTGTGTGGGACCAAGAGCTGCGTGGCAGCCCGCTACATGGATGTGAGAGGCAAGAAGGGCCCCGTGGGCATGCCCAGGGAGGCCACGTGCGACCACTTCATGTGCCTGCAGCAGGGTTCTGAGTGCGACGTGTGGGATGGCCAGCCCGTGTGCAAGTGCCGGGACCGCTGTGAGAAGGAACCCAGCTTCACCTGCGCCTCGGATGGCCTCACCTACTACAACCGTTGCTACATGGATGCCGAGGCCTGCTCCAAGGGCATCACGCTGGCTGTGGTCACCTGTCGCTATCACTTTACCTGGCCCAACACCAGCCCTCCGCCACCCGAGACCACTGTGCACCCCACCACGGCCTCTCCCGAAACTCCCGGGCTGGACTTGGCGGCACCTGCCCTGCTCAACCACCCCATCCATCAGTCGGTCACCGTGGGCGAAACGGTGAGTTTCCTGTGTGACGTGGTGGGTCGGCCCCGGCCTGAGATCAGTTGGGAGAAGCAGCTAGAAGACAGGGAGAATGTCGTCATGTGGCCCAACCACGTGCGCGGCAATGTGGCAGTCACCAACATTGCCCAGCTGGTCATCTACAATGCCCAGCTCCAGGACACTGGTATCTACACGTGCACGGCTCGTAATGCCGCCGGGGTGCTGAGAGCCGACTTCCCGCTGTCAGTGGTCCGGCCGGGTCAGGCCACCACTACCTCTGAGAACAGCCCCAATGGCACAGCCTTCCCAGCTGCTGAGTGCCTGCAGCCGCCCGATGGCGAGGACTGTGGTGAGGAGCAGACCCGTTGGCATTTCGATGCCCAGGCCAACAACTGCCTCACCTTCACCTATGGCCACTGTGACCGCAACCTGAACCACTTCGAGACCTATGAGGCCTGCATGCTAGCTTGTATGAGTGGGCCACTGGCCGTGTGCAGCCTGCCCGCCCTGCAAGGACCCTGCAAGGCCTACGCGCCCCGCTGGGCCTACAACCGACAGATGGGCCAGTGTCAGTCCTTCGTCTACGGTGGCTGTGAGGGCAATGGCAACAACTTCGAGAGCCGCGAGGCGTGTGAGGAGTCATGTCCCTTCCCACGTGGGAACCAGCGCTGTCGAGCCTGCAAGCCCCGGCAGAAGCTAGTCACCAGCTTCTGCCGCAGCGACTTCGTCATCCTGGGCCGGGTCTCGGAGCTGACGGAGGAGCCCGACTCAGGCCGCGCCCTGGTGACGGTGGATGAAGTCCTGAAGGACGAGAAGATGGGCCTCAGGTTCCTGGGCCGGGAGCCGCTGGAGGTCACCCTCCTACAGGTAGACTGGGCCTGCCCTTGCCCCAATGTGACGGTGGGCGAGACGCCACTCATCATCATGGGTGAGGTGGATGGCGGCATGGCCACGCTGCGGCCCGACAGCTTTGTGGGCGCCTCTAGCACCCGACGCGTCAGGAAGCTCCATGAGGTCATGCACAAGAAGACCTGCGAAGTCCTCAAGGAGCTCCTGGCCTTGGCCTGAAACCCTCTCCACTCCTGTCCCGCCCCTCTCCTGCTCCCCCGCCCCCTACCTTACCATGTCTCCCCACCCCTTGTCAGCCAGCTGGGCAAGGTTAGATCAGAGTCCCGGGCCAACAGGTAGTGAGAGAGTCATACACCTCCAGGGCATCTGGGGTCAATTTGTATTCTTTGGGTTCCTTTTAGGAGCTGAGGCCACCCCACACTCCCCACCTCTGTTTCCAGATGCCTTTTCCCAGCCAGGATTTTGGCATCCCTGTGGGAATCTGCTTGCAGAGGGAGTGGGGGCGGGGTGAGGTAGAGCAGAGTTCCCAGGGAGTCAATGAGACAGATTCCCTGCCGTGAGCACAGCCACTTGGTGTTAAGCATCATGGGCAGTGGGAAGCCAGAGGTCTCGTCCAACCCAACCAGCCACATGACTTACACAGAGTGGGAATACTGGGGCCATCGTGGCATTTGTCCATCACAGGCACTGAGTTGTTAGTTTTGGTTCCATTCAATTCAACTTGGATATTTTCCAAAGGCTTCTGGGGGCCAGGTGCTGGATCACAGAGTGATGTCATGGCTGCTAGACTTGGATGCCCCAGGCTGGCCCTCCTCACTGTTACACGTCTCCATCACATGCCACTGGCTCCTTTGGATCTGTTTTGGTAGTGGGAGGAATGCAGGGAGAGAGAAAGCTGGCAGGGTGGGGATGAGGAAGGCTAGGAGGGGAGGAGGCCTTGAGAAGGGAAAGCAGTGTTGATCGATGCTCCCACCTGGTGGTGGCCTCGGGAACCTGCAGGCACCTGGAGGGCCAGCTTGGGCCTATGTTTCTAGACATATAGGACATCCTACCGCTGGCAAGATTTAGAAACCCCACTGTCAGCTCTGTATCTGTCTCCTTAACCCCATCCTCAGCCCTTCCCTCTGTCCCTGAGCCCACAAAGCTGAAGAAGGGCACGTTGGCAGCCTTGCTCTTGCTCCGACACAGGGAGGGAGACACTGATTAAAAGGTCTTTGTATCCACAGCCCTTGTGTGTACTTCATTTGGGTGGAACCAGGGCATAGGGAGGGGTGGGTAATGTCCTGGGCCCTCGTGACCCTTCAGAGGCCAGTGGGGCCAGTGGACAGCATGTGGGGAGTGAAGGACACTGCTACAGCTGAGCTTCTTGGCTCTGGGAGTTGTGTTATACCAGAGGGGGGAGGTGGTACTTAGGCCCAGATGCCCACTGGCTTGCAATCTCCTATCTCCCACCCAATGGCTGTGTGCAGAGTCTGGGTCCTGCTGCCAATGGAGTCCAGTGTAGAGGTGAGCAGGTGGAAGAGATAGCTAGGGTAGCAGACGGGGAACATGCTGCCCTCGTGTGACTCCCAGGGTCTCTGGATGAGGCCTGTCTCAGGTTCCTCTGGGGAATGGGGTTCGGTTCTGGCCACAGAGATGGCAGCCCACTTGTGCCTGCCCAAGGAGCTATATGGCACATCCACAGATGCACTTCTACCCTGCACACTTCCCTGGGTTTTCTTGGGCCATGGCCCAGGCAAAGAATCCAGGCCAAGGCCTAGCCCAGCCCAGTCTACCTCACCTGCAGTAAAGGGCATGAGTTTGAGGCTGGTGCTGGGAGCCAGAAGACAAGCTGCTCCCAGAGGGAAGAAGGGCCTAGAGCTCTGGGAGTTTCTCAAGTTACCCTGGAGGGAGACTGAGCAAGGCTGGGCCTGGTGGAGGTATGAGTTACAGAAGGCCCCATCCCTCCCTGTGTCAGGCCTCTGCCCACCATAGCCCTAGCATGGCAGTGTGTGAAGCCCCACGAGTGGGAGTCACACTCCTGCCAGAGTGACGCTCACCTGCTCTCTCGGCCTCAGTTGCCTCACCTGTACAGCATGGTAGTGGGAGCACTTTACAGAGATGAGGGAAGTTCAATAATCTCATCAAACCAGAAGCCTGGGAAAGTGAGCCTGGCACAGAGAGGCTTATCCATGCCCCTTCTCATCTTGTGCAGCTTCTCAGACCAACAGCAGGGTGCCCAGGACCCACCTAGGGCTCTGCCTTTGCCTTTCTGGGCCTCCATGGTTGGTGGTTTCAAGCACCTTGTACTGTTCTTTCCAGAGTACAGCCAGGCTGAGCCCCCCATAAGGGCTGATTCAGGGTTCAGAGAACATGGGCAGGGACTAGTGCCGATAAACTACCGGCAACTCATACTGGAGGCTGTCTGAGACCTCATTCACCAAGGCTGGTTCACCGGTTTTTCCGGTCACTCTGGCCGCTCACTTGCCCTCCCCTTGTAGCCACGTGCTTCTCCTTCCTGTCCCCAAACAAGCCTCTGTTGGCCTCCCCCGTCCCCAGGGGCCTCTACAGCAGAACAGCCTGGCTGCTTCCAGTCTCCTAGGACACTCTGCTCCATTGTCCAGCTAGCTGCTCCATAGTCTGATGTCACCCCACAGACTGTGGGGCTTGGGGGGTGGAAGCTGACCAGGGCTGGCTGGGGAGGAGGAGAGGGCAGGGAGCGGGAGGAGAATGGGTGCCCAATCTGTGGTGATCTCCCTGGGCTGGGGAGCACCCTTTGGCCTGGCTGTCCTGTTCCAACCTCAGCCACACAAATGGGCTTGCTCTGTGACAGGCACCAGGCCGCGTTTCCACCATGGCTGTGTGGGTCAGACCTGTGTCATTGTGCACGTAGGAAGGCTGAGGATGGAGGGGGTTGAGAAACCTGCTCCAGATCACACAGGCAGATGGGACATGGTGGCACTGAGGTTGGAATCCTGCCAGCATGATTCCAGATCCCTGTCTGCTCCTGGAAAGCTAACCCATCCTGCAATCCCATCAGGACCCCAAATGTTGGCACCCAAGAGCCTGGCTCGCTGGGTCAGCTGCCCACAGCACCCTCAGGGCAGTTGACCAGCTCGCCACGTGACACATCTTTCCATCACCTGCGTCCGCAGCTTGGCCTAGATTCCTGAACGAGACATCAGCCATGCGCCTATTCATCTTTCCAGACTCAGCTCCTTGGGGAGTCCACAGCCTCGTCCAGGCTCTCTGGCTCCTCCCACTGCTGGCGCTGAGCCATAGCAGCATTATCACCCAGGGGCCTCTGGGAAGGTCGGCTGGCTCCCCAAAGCATGAGTGGGCTTGTCATGTGAACAAGGGACTCTGGGAGCCAGGACTGTGTGGGGCTTCTACACCCTGGGAATATGAGGCTGTGGAAGAACCCCTTTGGGGGTCTTCCCTCCTTCTGTCAAGTCTGTCTTTGACACCTCTTCCCCCTGCCCTTCTTACCATTCCCCACCCCCACTCTTGCCCAGGAGTCCGACTTGGGGAGCATGTGATTAATGCGGAGGGATGGGTGGCAGGGTTCCTGGGCCCTATTCTTGGCTGTGGCCTCATTCTGGAATGTGCCCTGAGGTCAAGTGACGCTCCTGTCCTCTGCTGTGTCAGGAGGGAGGAAGATTGAGCCTCCGCTGGCATTCTGGGAGAGAGGGTGGGGCGGGCAGGTGCATATGCCTGCCACCCATCCCTGGCCTTCCTGCCACCCAGGCTCTGGAATCCTTGGGCACTTCAGTTTCAGGGATGTGTGACTCTGGCCTTCAGGTCTCCAATTTAGACGGGAGGAGAGCAGCTCCCACTGGGCTCCCAGTGTCCAGTTTGCACTGTCCAGGTCTTTCCTGAGCGGATCTGCTAGGTAGGGGCAAGATGAGCAGGTTGAGGAGGCGTGACCTTCTGTGAGTGCTGTCCAGAGGGAGATGCATTGCCTGGCAGCTTGGTCAGCTCCATTTGGGATCTCTGAGAAGGTAGAAGTAGGTACCTGTCTTGTCACCTTGCTGTGTGGGCAGCTGGGAGGTGGCAAGGCCCCTGGGCCAGGTCGGAGGGAAGCCCAGGGTCAGGAGAAGGGGCGTGGATGCATACGGGGGTCTCGCAGCTTGCAGTAAGTACCCTCTTGACTCGCGAGCACCACTGAGAGCTCACAGCTGTGTTTAGGTCAGGTGCCATTGGACAACTTCGCCATCTAATGGATCCCAACCTACACGCTTCAGCAAGGCAGACACCTGCACTCCGCATGAGGCCTGACTGTGGGGGTGTCCAGTGAATCTTTGTTGAATGAATAAAATGAAGTCCTGGAGACCTTGTGGAGAAAGACACCTTCATAAGTGTTATTTCAGATGCTGAATCTGAGACTCTAAATACAGCACAGAGGTTTGGCCCAGGGTCATGGAGTCAACAAGAAGCTGACCTACTTCTGTCTCACTTTAGTGGGTGTCTGCTCTGCAGGCTGAAACACGCGCCTCCCCTGTCACAGGTGAAGGGTGTCTAGTTCATGAGCACCTGAAACCATCACTTCCAACTGGCCCTGAGCGCTGGGTCTATGGAGACTTTGCAACAAGCTTGTCAAGTTTAACTTTCCAGGTCAATGGGGCTAAACTTAAAATCTATAGATTCTATAGAATGCTAAAGTGCTCTTTGGTTGCACTGGGCACATCTCAAGGGCCACATTTCACATGACACAGAATATTTCCACTGGGACTGCCAGTTTGGCATGGCAGGTAAAGCTGTCAACAGCAGTGCTGGCATCCCATGTGGGTACCAGTTTGTGATTCAGCTACTCTGTTTCTAATCCAGCTCCCTGTTTCTGGCCTGGGAAAAGCAGCAGCAGATGGCTCCAGGGTTTGGGCCTCTACCACCAACGTGAGAGTTCTGGGTGAAGCCTCTGAGCCTTCTGGTTCTTTTGGGAGTTAACCAGCAGATGAACAATTTTTCCATCTTTCTCCATCTCTCTCTCTGTAACCTTTTGAAATAGATGAGTAAATTTTCAAAACAAAACAAGAATATTTTCCCCATCACAGGTTATTGCATAGCTTGTTAGCATTAAGAAATACTTCTCATTTTCTTTAACTGTGTGCTGTGTCCAGGGTAGGAGGGCTTTCTCTGAAGGTCTTCAATTCCATGTTCCCACCTAGCCAAGGATTCTAGGGCTTTCTTGGTTATATGCTGGGCCCTGTGTTAAAAAAAAAAAAAAAGATGTATTTATTTGA